ATATGTCTTCAAGTAGTTTTCATTTTGAAAAATGGGACTGAAAAAATGGATTAAATCTATGTGTCATGTGGGACAACTTTTCCCTTTGTGAAGTAAGACAATTAAGGACAATACAGTACTGACAAATTTTTCCTCTTTATAATTCACTCTTACTTTTTTTTTTAGGCTAAATGGAAATATTTCTGAAACACAGTCTCTAGAGCTAGTTTGGAGTTTATTGATTTTTGAATCAGTAACTTGTTAATAATGTAATAATACTTCGTTTGTACTTTATTGTGTACTTGTCTCATGTTATTACTTGTCTTATAATCATTCACGTACAGAGAATCCTGTAGATAAAAATTTATATTATTACCCAGAGAAGAACTGAAGAGGCACACAGTGGGTTGGGGTAGGTTGCAGCAATGAGCTTCCTAGAAGAAGGGAGGTGAAAGATGTCATTAAAAAATGCATGATAGTTTAAAAAAAAGAAAAGACTGATCACATGATGAGAGCAAGAAGTGATGTCAGAAGAAAGCCAAGAAGGCCTTTATCACATTAAGCAGTCCTCCCAAGCATTTGTTTAGGGGACTCTTGGACATGGACAAGAGTCACAAAGGACGGATAGGCCTTGGGTAGATGGGGGTCTGCATTGTTGGAGAGCACATCCACATAGTGAGCTCACAGGCAGGTCCATTGGAGTCTTTTGAATTTGACTCCTGTAGCAAGACTCTGACATTTCTAATTGCACAAGGGTAGAGTAGGGAGGGACTTCAGAGGCCAGCCATTTAGTCCGTTTATGTGGATGAGAAGGCTCTTTCCAGTACACCTGATCAGTCAGTGGCGTTTTCTGTAAGACCTCTAGGGACGGCAAATCTGTGATTTCCAGGGAAAGCTTACACTACTTTGGAAAGGGCTAATTTTTAACAGGTTTCTCCTCTATATTGAGCGGAAATACCTCTCTGTAATCTCTGTTGGTTTCTTCTGTTCTGTCTTCTGAGGCCAACTAAAAGAAGTCCCTCCTAGGCATGAGAGTTCTTCAAATACTTTAAAACAACAATTACGAGGCCCCCTAATTTTTCTCCATGTAATTTCCACAAGCATTTATTAAGGACCTACTGTGTATCAGGATACTCCATCCTTCTCACAGCTGCAAAATGATATTATGAAAGCACAAGTCTGACCAAATTACTTTCCTGGTCACTGAACTCTGGGGGCTCTGGATTACTAGGAACAAATATAGATGACTGTGCTTAGCATTTAGAGCGCATGACAGCCTGGCTGCAGCCTACCTTTCTGTATTTGACACGTCACTCCCCTTTCTGCATTCTGCAGTCCAGTCACAGTGGCCTCCTCATTGCTTTGGTCTGTCCCCAGTGCCTGGAATGCACTCCCTCATCTCTCAGCTCTACCTTGTAGAATGCTTGGTTCGCTTCAGAGTTCAGCTCGTTGACCATTTCTTAATGTAAGCCTTTCCAGATTGTGTGTGTGTGTGTGTGTGTGTGTGTGAAAGGGAGAGGGAGAGATACACAGAGTGTGTGTATGTGTGTGTGTGTGGTATGTGTGTGTCAAGCATCTACAAGAGATGTGTGAAATACTTGGGATAAGCAATAATTTTGATTTAGTTCTACTTTGTGACAGCAGTGGTTATACGTATGCGTTTCTGTATAATACCAGGCTGGTTCAGAAGTCTGACCATCATCAAATGACCCCTAAATTAGCTGCTTACCTCATCTTTAGAGAGTTCTTTGTCTACTGAGTGTAAGATTTCCTGCCATAGAGGTGTTTCATTGTTCGGTTTTGTTGTGTTTTTAGTTCTCTGGTTTGTAAAAATGAATATCACTCTATAAAAATGTGCGAAAGTAGTATCTCTTGAAGAGCACCCTTTAGTGACTGTTAGAAATAGTGCTGCTGCAGTTAAGCGTCAGTCAAGCCCACATTCGGAAAGAAAGATCATTCCTACCAAAACACAAAGAAAAGTGCCATCGAAAGCACACCTCCTTTCCCCCCCAAACAGAAACAAAACCACTGTGCCAAGAATTGACAAACTACTGCTGTGAAACAGCCTGATTAATTCTCAGAAAAGAAAGAGAGTCTTTGGGAGGGATCTGGCAACCAGGAAATTTAAGCCCTGGCATGTGGGGCTGTGTCTGGCCAGCAGCCGGCAAAAGGCTCCTGCTGCCCTGAGCTGAGTGCCACGGTGAGCAGTTGTAGCCTTGTCTGGCTCACTGCTGACCTGATCAAGGTTCTGAGCGATGTCGCAGGACAGAACTTGGTGCTGCTTTGGGACCCGGTGAATTTCTTCTCCATCCTGACTCATCACAGTCTGGTGCACTGACATCGGTCACTCAAGAGGGTTTCTCTTCATAAAGCTGAGGCCTGACCTCTGCTTAGGAAGCTCCAGTGGCTCCTCATCACCTCTAGGATAAAACATGAAATTCTCTGGTGTTCAAGGCCCTTCATCACCTGACTGCCCCTTCGTCCCTCTCACCTTACTGGGCCTATTATACTTTACTCACTCCCTTTTTGATTCAGTGTTGTCACTTCTCTTTGCTTCCTGGCTTACTTAAGTTCCAACTAAAATCCCCCCTTCTACAGGAATCGTTTCCCAATCACTTTTCACTCTTGTATCTTCCCTCTGTTATTTCCTGTTTATCCTGTACGTAGCTTGTTACGAGAAAGTTCTTTGCATATTGTCTCCCCCATTATAGGCAGCTTGGAGACACCGTAGGGCATAGAGCACTGGGCCTGGAGTTAGAAAGACCTGAGTTCAAATCCAGCCTCAGGTACTTACTAGCTAGATGACCCTGGGCAAGCCACTTCCCCGTGCACCTCAGTTTCCTCATCTGTTACATGAACTGGAGCAGGAGATGGCAAACCACTCCAGTAGATTTGCCAAGGAAATCCAAATGGGGTCATGGAGAATTGGACATGACTTCAGTGACTGAACAACAACTGCCCCATTAGATTTTGAGCCTTTTGAGGGCAGAATCTGCCTTTGCCCTTGTTTGTGTCCCCGGTACTTAGCGCAGCACCTGGAGCATTGTAGGCGCTTGATCAATGCCTGTCTCCCTTAAATCTTACCTAGGCACTGGCTGTACTTACTTTACAAGGAGTTTTGTCTTCAGATAAAGACCAATTGACTTTTGACGCGTTCTGAGCCACTGTTAGCTATGAATGAGTTTACACACTGTGAGGTAAAACAGAGGGGGCACTTGGACAATATCCCTTGATGGGACAGTGAGTCTGTGTCTGTCTGTCTGTCTGTCTCTGTCTCTCTCTCTCTCTGTGTCCCTCTCGCCTATCACATTTCCTTGCGAAAAATAGGTGCTTAATAAATGCCTATCTAATTAAATAAAATTAAATGCCTCTTATCTAGAAAGTGCGTTCAAAGATGAAACCAACCACCCAAACAAACTTCAACAATTCTTTCCTTTAAGAAATTTTCTTTCTCTAGGGGTAGCTAGGTGGCATAGTGGATAGAGCACCTGCCCTGGAGTCAGGAGGACTTCAGTTCAAATCTGGCCTCAGACACTTGATACTTACTAGCTGTGTGACCCTGGGCAAGTCATTAATCCCAATTGCAGTGCTTCCCCCCCCCAAAAAAAAAAAAAGAAACTTGCACTCTCGTATAGTAGGCAGAACTAGAGTTGGGCCTTGAAGGGAGAGAGAGATTTTTCACAAGTGCAGATGAGAAAGGTGTGTATTCCAGGTATGTCATCTGGCCCATGCAAGTGCTTTAAGGCAGGAGAGCAGAGGATAAAATGAGAGCAGAGAACAGGTTGATTAAATATTCTGTGCATGAGAAGAAACAGTGTGAAATGTGACGCAAAGGGAGGTGAGCGTCAACGTAGAAGTCTTTTGATGCCAGGTGAAGGAAGAGATTTTGTTTGACAACGTAGGCAACAGTGGACTATCATGTAGAAGAAAGTGCACAACCGTAGATATGACTAACTTCAGATCCCAAGCCATCAGTAATGGATTCCATTCTTAGCCACAACTGTTGATCTGGAAACTTCAGTGTCTCAACCTTATCATAGCAAACAGTTTGGATATTGAGAGGTTAGGGGTGGATGGAAGGAATTGTTGGCATGCAACTAGATAGGATACAGATTCTCATCCATAAAAATTAGGTTCAGAGTAAGTTTACTTAGGGTTTATGTAAATAGCTCACATTATGTAAGCCAAAATTCACAAACATTTTTCAACATTGCATATAGTTTGACTCTATGTTGACTTACTGAATATGATAAACAATATTGTATTTGATAATATGTAATGTTTGCATTACTTAAACAAATCATCTAAACATAGAAAATGTAAACAAAAAAAATTGGGTCCTGCTCCAATATTCTTTATATGCAGTGACGTGAATGTCTTCAGTAGCTTTAATAGATAATACTTTGTGTCAAGGTTCCTAGAAGTGTTTTCTTCATCAGGATGACTGGCAAAGTTAAATTATTTCACTTTGATATCAAAAATAGGAATGTTACTAACTAGAGCAAGCAAATTTAACCATACCAGCTCAGGTGAAGAGCTAGCTACTAGTACCTATCAATGCCAGAGCAGTGCTTCTTTGCTTTCTTTTCTTATATTTTGGTCTTCAACAAAGAGACATTCCATCCATAGTTTTCTTGTCTTTTCACAGCTCATCCCCCATAACCATAAGGTACCCCCTTCTCTGCCTCTTATATAGTCTGGGCTGAGCTTATAGGTCATCCACTCTAAGTTTGGCATGAGTATGGTGAGCCCCTGGGAATAAGAATCCACTGGATTGCCTAAAGAAGGGTAAACTGACCCAGTTGGAAAGAGAGCTAGTCAAAGTTCCCTTTGAGAGGCCCATGCATTTCCAGCCTGGTTGAGCTAGGAGACCTAGTCCTTTAAAAAAAAAAAGGCAATTGTATCAGCCACTTCCTCATCACTTCTAATTCTGTTTGCTCTTTTGTATGTAATCTTTTCTTTTCTTTTCTTTTCTTTTAACTTTTGGCCATTTTAAAACATTTTTTCTGCATTTTTTTTAGAGGACTACCCTAACGGCACTTGGCTTGGTGATGAGAATAATCCTGAAATGAGGGTTCGATGCGCGATCATCCCTGCTGACATGCTGCACATTAGCACCAATTGTCGAACAGCAGAGAAGATGGCGCTAACATTACTTGATTATCTTTTCCATCGGGAAGTTCAGGCTGTCTCCAACCTCTCTGGGCAGGGAAAACATGGGAAAAAACAGCTTGATCCCCTCACCATCTATGGAATTCGTTGTAAGTATGTTTCATGTGTTGTATTTCTGGAGCACCGATAGGTTTGGTAGATTTGTTTATGTATGTATTACATCCATTTGTTCTTAGACATTGGATTGTTTCCCCCCTGCTCTGGTGTTAGAATGGAAGAGGGAATTACAGAAATGACATTTCAGTGGATAGTGTTTTGACATTATGGGTGCAGTTATTAGATTAGGTGAACATTTTTAAAAATTATATGTGGGCTAATGCCATGCTCTAACAATAGGCATTTTGTGTGTTAATATGGGTGACTGAGTTAAAGATGGCCCCCAGACAGTTGAAAGTTCTGTATCTGTGTGGTTGATAGGTATCCATGGGGATGAATAAGAATAGAGTTGCAAGCAAGCCTTCTTCTTCTCTGCCCCACCAGAAGTATCATTTCCACATCTAGAAATGAAGAAAAGTAGAAAGACAACTCTAAGCTCTAAACTCTGACTCTACGTATAGGAACAGCTCTGCTTTTCTCTACTTAATTCCAGGTTTCAAGCTTTTGTCAGCCAGGAATGATGTAGTAGTAGGCATTGTTCACATTTCTATTCAAATTTTTAAAGGGATTTCCCTATGAAACAATACAACACTTTGGAAAAAACTTAGAACCATGTAAATAACCCCAAAATGTCATGATATTAGAAAAAATAATAAGAGTTAGAACTTGAGGAGAAAATAAGAAGAGGAGAGTGGATTGACCTATGGGATTGTAATGAAAACCTGATGTTGTATTTGAATTTTTCATTTATATATTTTTTCCATTGACATATTATTTGATGTGAGGTTATTTCTATTTCCCTATTCTCTTTCTCTGTGTCTCTCTCTCTCTGTTTCTGTCTATCTCTGTCTCTCTGTCTTCTTTCCCTTCCCTTCTCCATTCCTCTCTCCTTCTCTTTCACTCTCTGTCTTATTTTTATCTCTTGGGACTTCAGTTTCATTCTAATTTTAAAGAAGTTGTGAGCATCCAGTGAGGTAATATTTGTCAACCGCAATATAAATACTAGTCATTATTGAATTTCTAAAAATGCCATTCACTAGGGATATACACCTGAACTGATGTATGCAGAACTTATCAGAAAAGCAAATAGGAACCCCTTAAGCCTGCATTACCAAGAAAACTTATTTTTTATTTGGTTGTTGCTTCTCAGGGAGCATCCATTATAATAGTGTTGGAAGAGAAAACATATTCTTATCTATCTGTCTATCTATCTATCTACTTACCTGTCTTAATAATCTTATGATCTCTTAGAGTAAAAATTACTCACTCCCAGAGGATCTCTCATGCCAGTCTGTGGAATTTCTCTCATGTACTTACTCATGGTCTAACTTGAATTACAGTTGTATGTGTAGACACACACTCACTCACACACACTCTCATTCATCCCTCTTATTTCTTTCCTTCCCTAGGAGATTTTAAGTTCCTTGAGGACAGACACCCTGTTGTTCTTCTTTGTGTCTTTTGTGCCTCTCATAGTATCTTGTGTACATTAGCTGTGTGTTAATCAAGCACACTACGCTGTCAAGGATTCATGTGTTGATCCATTTGAGTGGTCCTGTTACTCATGCAGATGCAGCCTCGTTCCATGTTGAGACGGTGTTTTAAGTTGCTGTGACTAAAAATATTCGTCATAGGGTGGCTAACATCCCAGCTGAGGCTAGTGTTTTCACAATGAACATGCTAATCTGGTCTCTACTCAGAGCTTTCCCATATCGGTGTAGGACTTGACAGAGTTTGGGCTCCTTCAGCACCACCGTTAGCACCCAGGGTCATCTGTGTGGTACTGGTCTTGTCAGGAGAAACCACCTTTGCCCACCTCTTTGCAGAGCTTGATGGAGTCATGATACAGAACGAGACATATGTTTTAGGACATGGACAACGAAGAAATTGTTTTGCTTAACTATGCATATTTGTTGCAAATATTTGTTTTTGTTTTTTTCAGTGGGGAAAGATGTGAAGGAGAAAAAAATTACTGCTTACTAATTGAAAAAATAAAAAAAAAAGACAGCCAGTTTCATTAGACAGTGTTAAAATTTTCGTCGTTGAATGGCATTTGGTCTACATCAACCACACATTATCCAAGTGTATACTTAGACTACTGAACATATTTATACAGGCAGTAAAGAATTATAGGCTTCTTTCTCCCAAGAGCTTTGGCTGATTGATTTCGCTGTTTTAGTACTATCACGCTGAATGTAACACATGCTGTAAGTTCAACTCTCTCACACCACCATTTGTCTCAGAACTAGAGTCTGGGTCAGCTGAAAGAAAATATGACTCTGAAACGATTGCATTTACTCATCGTACTTGGACCCACTGGAATATGAAGAAATGTAGACATACATGTCCACACAGAAGGTCACAAGTTTAAAAGAATTGTCATTTCATAATATTTTTAAATGCAGGGATGACTAATTATTTTGGCTTGTATGTTTCACTCCCACCTTCTGCCTTAGTCAACTCTTATACATTCAGTCACAAAGATTTAGTGGATTAGCAAGAGGAGATATAAATAGAAAAACAAATCATAATCCAATTTTTTGTTGTGAATAAACTAGGGAGAAAATTTTTGTTGATCCACAAGTGTGTTTTCATTTGTTAACGTAAGAACATTGTTGGTTGTCGATTTTCTCCCGGTATACATGTAGTCTCAAGGTCTAACTCCTAATTTTATGTATTTGACCTCGTTCCCCCCACCCCCGGAGGTTGGACAGACAAGTTGGTCCATATGCCATTAAAGGTAGTTTTACTGGTGTCTTTCCTTTTCCTTTTTTCTTTTTTAAACATGGCAGTTACTACCCAGTATATACCCTGTATATCGTTCCATCCCTGGAACCCTCCTCTCTAATAAAGAAAAACAGTTTAGCAAAACCAACTGATAAAATGAAGGCATGAAAGCATAAATAGCAGAGGAAGAAAGTATATTTTATTAAATGCCCTTTGGGTCCTGGATGCTTCATTGTAATTGGTTTGTTCTGACTTCTTCTTATTTGTTAGCTCAATATCAGGCTTACAGTCTTATAGCTTGATGATGGACTGTTACATTTGCATACCACCCTTTGTTCAATCGTTCTCCTGTCAGTGGCCACCCACTTATCTCCCATCTCTTCTGTAGATAGCTCGCTTGTTTGTTGTCTTCTCCTTAGACTGTAAGCTTCTCAAAAACAGGCAGTGCCTTTCCCCTTTCTTTGTAATCCTCAGCACAGTGCTTGGCACACGGTAGGTGCTTAATACATATCTGTTTACTGACTTACTGTTCTATGGGACAGCTGGCTGGTGCAGTGGATAGAGTGCTTGGCCTGGAGTCAGGAGGACTCCTCTTTGCGAGCTCAAATCTGGCCTCGGTTACTTGCTTGCTGGGTTATCCTGGGCGAGTCATTTAACCCTGTTTGCCTCAGTGTCCTCATCTGTCATATGAGCTGGAGAAGGAGATGGCAAACCACTCAGTTTGTTTGCCAAGAAAACCGCAAAGAATCAGACAGGACTCAGAAATGACTGAACAGAATTGTTCTAATGGTTGCTATTTTGTTGTAGCGCTAAGTACGTGAATTAATTCAGGTAGCATCCTACTTTATGGCGTATTGATTGGCATGGGCCGGTCATTCACATGTTATTCATAGAACCCAACTAGGTCAGATCTTAGCTGACTCATCCTTGGTGCTGTAGGAGGGTGAAGGATTTTATATCGGTATTATGGTGGATGGTGGGAGGCAGAATAGAGACTACAGAGCAAAAATGGCGCACCCTAATAACGGCGACTCTGATGCCTGTACGCTCTGTCAGCACATTTGATCTGTGTAGCAGACCTGGATGATAAAAGGGCGAATAATAATATTCCTTAAAAAAAAACCCAAAAAACCAACCAATCAGAAAGGTAAAAATTCAGGAGGGTTAAGTATGTCGCCTCAGGTTATATTTACAGCTAGGACTTGGAGCCAGGAGTGGAACACAGGACTGGTTTCTACTCACGCTCCTTCCGGTAGGTGCCACACCATCTCCCTGCACGGTAGCTGGAGACACAGAATGAGAGCTCACCATGGTCAGAGCTCTTCTGTGTGAGTGGGGTTTGTCTCTCAGACCTCCTTGCAATTTTCTAATGATTCTCAAATGGAAAGATCCTGTGTTAAATGAAGGATAGCTACTGTTCATGCAACTCCATTCAGTCGAGTAGCCATTTACCCATTGTGTGTGAGACACAGGTGTCGGGGTTCCAGGACACAATGAAATGCAGTACCTGTTCTCATCTTCCACTGTAGCCAAGGCCAAGAATGGGCAATAAAGGACTATGCTATTTAATGTAAATCCCACCCCGGGGCACCAAGTTCTGACACCCTCGCTTATCGGTTGTTACTGGCTTTTGTAGTTCTTAGTACCATAACAGCTTTTTTTTTTTTTGGCAATTGGGGTTAAGTGACTTGCCCAGGGTCACACAGCTAGTAAGTGTCAAGTGTTTGGTCTGAGGCTGGATTTGAACGCAGGTCCTCCTGCCTTCTGGGCAAGTGCTATCCACCGTGCCACCTCGCTGCTCCTATAACAGCTTTCTTGTGTGCGCAGTGGAGATGTGCCTTTTGATCTTTCTGTCCTTTTGCCCAGTCTTTCCTCCATCTTTCCATACAGATAATTAATTGCCACATTCTGTTATCTTTGGCTATGAAGGCCAGCAGTATTATATACTGTAGAATACCTGAAACTCCCATGTCTTTTTGCAAGAGCCACAATGTGCTGACTAGTTAAGTTAATTAATTGACATCATTAAATTTGCCAGATATTACTGATATACTAAGAATAATGTGCTCACAGCTTCTCGGAGTTTGGTGTAGATTGGCTAGAATGGTTATGATGCGGTGGAAAAAGGTTCTTGATGGGATACTAGTGTTGGTCTGGTCACTGGGTGGTACCCAAAGGAGAAACTGTTTAGGGACCCAGGCTGTATCCCTGTTCCAGGTAGCTGTGCTGATAGTGTGCGCTCTTTTTTTGATTTAAAGAGGGGCTA